TCTCGTCACATCATGGGGTATCTCTGAGCTTGATGCCAGCAGTTTGAGTACTGCGTACTGAGAATGGCTAACTCTATTTTGATGTGATCCCGGTGGTCGCGGAAGCGAGCTTCAGTTATTTGGGCCAGACGTTTAAATTTATTGCGAACCAACTATGTATTGCTTAGCATACTTGCACTCCCGTACGCGCATATCGGAGTTCACGAAAGCACAGAAAGTAAAACATTTATTTTCAAAAAATAAAAACCAATTACCGACGGAAACGAGTTCTAAACTTGTCTTCGTCGACACAAATTACTGACTCGTTACGGTTGTGGAGCGCCACTGGCAGTGTGCACGACGGGGTCCTGTGGTGGTCAGAAATTGCTGGGGAAGGAAGGAAGCTGAAAGCACTCGGAACAAGGCGGTTCTTGGCAGTCGTTCTCGCGGGTATTGAGTGGCCTTCCTCTGTCGCATCCATCTAAATTAGGCCAATCATGGTCCATGATTCTCGAATCATGATTCCCTCAAGCATCAAGACAGGACAGCCTCGCTGGGTCAAGGTGTCTGCAATACTCTCCACGCCATCAGAGGGAGTGGGAATGCCAAGGTCAACGGTAGGCAAACTCGTGCCCAACTTGGCGTGAACTGCATGTCGTTTACATTAGACGGCAAGTAGTAGTAGCAGACTTAGCGGTGGCGGCGACATACGTATGTCTCAAGATTCCGTACTGCCTGGTTCCATGTTCTGGGTCCAAGCCATTGATCATTTCTCAAGTCGAGACAGTGTGGAGTCCACAATTGCACCTGAGGGAAAGCGAGTATACTTTCTTGGGTATTTGATGCGCGTTCGTGGCACCATCGAGCCATACGCCTTGTGGCGCATGATCCTCAATCATATGATTGGACAACAGTGCCGAATGGGGCTTATCCGGTTAACGCCCAATTGAGGAATCGCGTCAGACGGCGGGCTTCAATATGATCGCCCGCTGGGCATACCCTGGTCCCTCTATTTATTTTTTGCAGTTCGGAATTCACCGAAGGGACGCCACTTTAATCTTCAAGTAGCGTGGCGCTACAATGGTTGAGCTGCACAATTTAATACGTATATTCTGTGTCACGTATGGTCAAAACGATAGATATTAGTGACACTCCGAGAGAGCACAAAAGACAACAAGCGAAGGGAAGTATAGTACAGGTATGCAGAATGCAAAAGTGATAGGACAGATAAGGGGTAGAGCGAGTAGCGAATGACGGAAAGTCGCACTATGCTTCAGATTCCGAAACCATTTGGTCGATAATGGATTTATCTAATCTGCCGGGAAATCTTATCTGTTGCTTATAAATCGCTCACTATACCGAGAGTGTGGCATAGTGTGGCGTTAGACTGAGCAGTTCAATGAGGAAGATATATGTCCCTTCCTACGCGAGTGCAAAATTAGAAGCAAATATGCATGCGAGACATCGGCAGCGCTGTTCAACCCTTTCCTTACCAAGTCGCTCTGCTGTCCTGAATCCTCGCTGCAATCCACCCATCCCAATCATCCTCCACCACAAGTCGTCAACTGTTCAATTGAACAAGTCATCTTTCCTACCACCCAGTTTGGCGCCAAACAACGGATGCCCGGGGTATTCTTCTGCGGCGATATGAGCGGGAAGGTCACCATATTCGAAGGTGAGCTGGACCTTTTGGTGTGCTTCCATGGGAATCTGTCTCCACACATGCCAAAATGCGCGACCAAACCATCTCCCTCGTTCCGACATCTCCTCCTGCACATCTTCAGAGTGGCCCCATACATTTCGAGTGGGTACGATGAGTATTCCGGACCGAATGATTTGTTGACGATGCTCATGCGAATCGTAGAGGTAAACGATGAAAATGGAGCACCAACTGTCCCAGTACAGTCGAGGCCCAACGGCAAGACAGAGAAGTCTGGCCTCCAGCACGACCCAACAATCCATTCCCCACATGACGGATGGGCGACGGCCTGTATCCTCGTCCTTGGCGATCTCGTTGGCGTGGAAAGAAAAGGATGGGGTGTGTTTGGAATCCAAGGTGCGCCATTGCTTCCAATAGGTGGAGTGGCGTGATACTGAGGCGACTCTGGAGAGGGAACGGGAAACGGGAGGGTGAATGTTCACAACCGAAGAGGGAATATGCGCAAATTGGAGCTTCACAGGAGCAGGCTGAAAGATCACAGCACTGCCTGCACTATATGTATGGTAAGTATATGTGCAAAAATTTGACACAATTCGCGGAGATTGACTATTTACCTGGTACGCCAGTCGGAAACCTCTGGGAAGCTAGCCATAACAGAGTCTTTTGACTTCTGCGACCATTCCCAGGTGAAGATTGTCTTTATTTTTGCATTGCATTTCATGATAAGCTGATGCATGCCAAACATTATAGCGATCACTGGAGTAAAGAATGCGATTGTTGAGATAATTGGATGTTGTTTGATAGAGAGTGGCTGTCAATGGTCATAGTGATGAGGACCGCAAAGTCTTGGTCACTATGGCCATTGATAGCCGAAGGTTCTGTCACATATTACAGCAACACCATGGAAATCCAAAGAGAGTCTACTGCGCTTGATCTGTGATCAGAAGTTAGATTGCTGGGAAGATGTAGGATGCCAATATTTCCTTTTGGCGGTAGATGAAGCCCCTTCATAAGATTCATGGGTGCCTCCACGTAGTTGTTTCAAAATCAGTTTACGTGATACGGGCACTATTCCATAACACGGGGGTACTTACCCGCTCTTACTGACAACGCTAAAGTGCTCGTTCATTTGCGCATGTAGAAGTTGTACCGTTCATGCAAAACCAGCTGAGCCCCACCAGATGCCATGCAAGTTAATCATCAGAGAATGATCACAACCAAGCAGTTAAGCAAACATCAAGTATATTTGTTTACTGTGATTGTCTGTAGGGCCGCAATCAAAACGTAAAACGTAAAAGAACCAAAGCCAAAGGAGCACGCTGATGAGCCATGGAGTTCCGGTACGTTGGGAAACGGTCCTGACTCGTTTGGTGGTAGATATAAAAAAGAAGCCTCAGGGATTAGAAGAACATTGCCCCACCCCACGTATCCACGACCAGAAACTGTGGTGCACTTACCATCATACCATGCAAGGTCTCGCTGACGTCAACCCTGTCCATACTCTCTCTCTCTGTGGTATGACTTGCATGCGCATCAAAGACTATGAATGGATATGCAAAGTTGTTGAACGCGCCGAGCGTGGAGACATCAGCATCACCAGTACGTCTTTGCTCGTGACCGGGGATGATGACGACAGCCAGTCTGTGTCATCGATATCGTCGGTCGAGGATAGCGAAGACTCGGAGGAGTACGTCAATGTTTATATTGCCTATAAACAGCGATCTTACTGACCTTGTCAAAGGGAACCGTTCCGTTTCATGGAGTATGAGTTCCTTCCTCGTCCTGATAAAGTCAGCAGGATCTACGGGGAGACCTACTTTTCTGGGGCGAACGATCAACCAGAGAAGACCCAGCTCATGCTGTGGTTGGAGCCGACCTACTTGAAGCAAACTCCACAACCGTCCATTATGCTCACCTCCTACGCCCATTTTGTCGACATAAACGGCGCTGTGCCCGGAGTACGTGTCGGCAGCGACATGCGCGTATACCAGAAGTTCATGCCGATCGCTCACCGTCTTGCCGTTATGGAGATGATGGTGATAGCAAAGGGCTGGATGTATGTGCTCGTGTTCGTCTACGGAGATGAGTATGGGGATGAACCCAACATAGCGGACAAGATGGCCGTGCTTCGTGTACCAGCGGAGCTGACGGGACGTCCCAACGAGCAGTATGATGACGCGCTGGAGATAGACGCAGAAGAAGTAGGATGGTTACACATAGGCGAAGAGAATAAGTTTGATGTCGCGGTTACCTTTCCTTCTTCTCATCCGTTTACCATTGTCGACACTATTGTTTATGACATACCCGACACTAGTATGGAGCCTGATCTGGCTGTTGTCAGACGCGGTGCGAAGGTGGGTGCCTGGCCAATCTAACAGGTGGACGTACAGAGAAAGTAAGTCGATTATTTATCAAGAGAAAGTTGTCGTATTCACCGTCCAGCTTATATTCGACAGATTTACCTATGCGCACGACTCGTGCACGTCATATTGAGCGTTCGTGGTTACCGCTTTGCCATACGTTTCTTGTTTTATGTTGCCGCTTTGTTCGAAGCTGTTCCCTGTACAGTTCATTAGCACCGTACGTTACACTGTTCTGTTCTGTTCTGTTTTGTTCAATGCTGTCACGTTTTTCGTCGTTGTTCCCTGTAAGGTTCCATTAGTAACATACCTTATACAGGACTGTTGCTTCATTTGTGTTCTGATTTATGCAGGATTGACTTGTGCGTCGTCGACACCGGTTGTCAATGTGGCGATAGGTGGCGGCCGAGTTTTCGGCAGCCGCCAGTAAATTCACACGGGACAAGTGGCGTCCGTCTTGCTCCCGATCCATATTTCGCTGCTTCGATGTCTCTCCCCTTCAATTCGAGGACTTCTCTCCCTATTACCTTTTTTCGGTATACTCTGGATTTGTTTCGAACATCTTCAGTCAATACTACATCGATCTTGAGCTACTTCAAATACTTCGATCCTTCATCAACCTATATGAACCTTCCAACTTGATCACCGTTACGCACTGGCCCGTGTGCGGGGTTCTTGGTACTTTCCCTCTGAGGATACTGGTTTGTCCATTGGTTTCGTAATGAGTGTATATAAGATACAAATGCATACGTGGTGGTCTCAGTATTCCGGTCAATCGTGTCTTTCGGCTTCCTTCAAGAGGTGAGTACATAGGCGCCTTGAATGTCCAGATGATACGGTGAGCCTCTGTACGGCGAGTTTCTCTTCTGACAGTAAGATATGGTCGGAACTGATATATTAGGGACCGCGGAGCCTGGGCAGAACGGTCAGACTCAAGCGCTCCGTAGGATGCCCCATAATCTGGACGGTAGGAGGTGGGACCCCGAACCCATCAATATATATATGGACCCGCAAAGTATACGCCTCGAGTACAAAGTTTCATGTCCCTCGCCGAACCGTACCTTCACTTTGTGGTAGTCTTTCCTTCTACCTCGTAAGATACCAACAGTTCTGGTTTAGCCTTCGGCTTGGTCGTCAGTGTTCGAGCTCATCACCGTGTGGAACATAACTGTCACTACTTTCGCCGTAACCTGAAGTGTATGTCCCACTGTTTGACAATATCCCCCACTATGCCGTATTTCAATCACTGATTAACCAACGGCATTCTTGCCTGACTTCTAGATAATAGTTTACTTGCATCAGTGCAATATCCTGCCTTTTGACCATCTCTAGAGCAACATGTCAAGTACGTAGCGCTTGTCATGTATCTGTCAACGCCAACGGCTAACTGGGAAGAACGCTCAGCGCGCAAGCTCATCATGGGAAAGGAGACGCTGGCTCCCCGCGATAACCCCGATAGCCCGTTCAGCTCGAGCCAGTTTCTGTTGCCGTCGTTCAGACATGACTACATCTTTAACGTGGAATACTCTGACTCTGATCTGTGGCGGAATATGCCCGGCGCCTTCCCCGGTCTTGACATCGATATCACCACCGACATGTTCCCGATGTGCGCTTCATGGTGGAAGGCGAGCGTTGGGCCACTACTCGCGAGATCCCCCGCGGAGCTCATATTCGTGTCGACGGTCAAGGGAGATGAGTCGACAGGAACGGTCACGCGAGTAGGTCTTCTCAGAGTTTCGGTCATGTCTGTACCGAAGGAGTATCAGAACGAGAACCTGGGAGAACCGACAATGGGAGAGATTGAGGCTGGTGACCTGTCATACTGGACAAGTCACCACCAACCTCCGATACAAGAATGTGTCCGATTGGCGTTCCCAAAATCGTATACATTCCCGTCGGCGATGATGTACGATTTCAAGGTCCTTCGTCCTGTCGCATGCCTCCCTCATCTTGTGCCTCACATTCTTGCCTCATCACCACCGACTTCGACCACCTCGGAAGCTCGACGTTTGTTAACCACTACTACCGTTCACCGCCCAAGTAGCGACCGAATCCGCGGGCACCAAACCACGTCTCCGATCCCTAGAAGGGCTGACGACAGACCGTCGACGACCTCGTTCACTTCTGCACCTGCTGCATCGTCGATTAAAGAGAACCTCACCCACCCGCCTTCTACCAATCCTAATCCTACTCTCCACATACGGGACGCTCAACTTGACCCCATGTCCTCTTCTACTCAGAAGTTCACATCACCATACACTCCTGCACGAGAAATCTGTCCACTCCCTCGTCGACATGGTACGACACATCCCTCTACTTCTTCTCTTCAGCCGCCCGTGGAGACGACGGCTTCCTCCCCTTCTACTCTGGAGCACCATCCTACCTTTCATCGACAAGGCATGGTCCACCCTGTAATTATGTCAGGCTACGATGGCAGGCCTGGTACTTCGCGGGGTAGAACTCCGAGTGCTGCGTGGTTCACATCGGTCAACGACGCCAATTCCGGCTACATGCTTATACCTCACGCCAAGTAGGGTGGTATTGTAAAGTCACGTTGCTTCCGTCACTTCTCGTCCTCCTGTCCCGCCTTCCACATCACTTTATCGGCTGCTTCGAGTCTGCCTTGTTTTGCTTTGTCCTTTTCCCTTTCTCTTCGTCATCTATATTCACCGTACATTGTTTCTTGTTCTCTGTTCGGCTACGGACCTGGCTGTTACAGATAGGGTAAATGGGTACCGATCGCTTAAATTACGTGCCAATTGATATACACGTTTCACAGGTCATGCAGTGGCGTGCTTCACACTTTTCATATAACATTAACTAGCTCTTGCGCCAAGCAAAGTTAAATAATATTAGCTTATATTTATGAGCTGCATCCCATTCTCTGGGTGCTGTCAAAGGATCAGGTATCCTACAGAAGACATGGGGTTATATTGAAGCCTTGTACCGATCCACTCGATTTTGGACCTGAGACAATTGGACATGTCTGAAATCTCCTTGCCAAGGACTTCTGTCTCATCCCAGATTGAATTGGGATTCCCAAGAACGTACAAATACCACATTGCGCCCAGAAAAAAGGGTCCTTTCCTGAAGCGATCAGAAGACAATTTGCTCAGATTAGGTCTTACACATGTTAACGACCATTCAGTTAAAGAAGCACGGGTGCCAGAGGGACTACCAGACGCCACTATTCGCCCCCATGAATTGTCCAGGTCCATATGGTGAAGTAACGGCATAGGCTCATCCACTCATTTCATCCCAACGATCCTTCTTTTCACAACCATCCCCACCTCATGACAAGCATGATACTATCCTCACGAAGAACACGCACACCATCCAACCTATTCCGTCCATGCAAAACACCCATATTTATCATAGTCAACACCATCGTGGAAGAGGACAGGTACGTGTCTGTTGGTATATTAGAAAACGTTGGAGAGCTAAAAGGGGATCTGCACACATCAGTCTAACTGTAGAAACAAGCGGAGATATAGGAAATGGAGAGACATCCTCGAGCTCCAACTCTCTAACACCTGTCCTCCATACACGCTCATCATGCGCCTCTGGTCCAGCTCAGATCGGCATGGACTATGATGTTCATCGTGGGTTCCGGAGACCGTGCCGGTCCTTACGCCGCTGGAGAGAGCTCGTGCAAGGCATGTACACAGGAAGTCCGAAGAAAGGTGACGGGGGAGCGTAGAGACAGTGATTTCAGTATTATGATACGCCTTTATATTCGTTGATCTCGGAGGAATATTGAGCCAATGTGACATGTGTATACCCGGAGAAGACAGCTCCGACCTTGGCCGGCAACGATCGAGGAAGGAAGGAGGGACAAGATGGTCGAATACTTATTCCGTAAAACATATGTTGTTTTTCGGAAGCGTCTTGATAGGGACCATATACTACCGACATATTCGAAGTATTTGCATTGCTTCCACGATCGGACTACAGTGTGAGTGCGAGAACAAGCCTTGTTCGGAAATAAGTGGAACCGGAGAGTGTATCACAGCTTGAAGGGCCACTGGCAGACGTCACATCCGGGTATTGTCAACTATGCATCCTCAGTTAGTTCCCCTCAACATGAAGTTCGCGACGGACTTTTGCAGGAACAACACAACGAAAGAGGAGGCTGGAACGAATACATGTTTTTTTTTCACTTTCGAAAGGAAAAAAGAATATACAAGAGCAAATAGGAGCGAAAAGTTCGAAAGAGAGCATATGTACACATCCACTCGAGGTCTACACCCTTCGATGAGGAAACTAGGATGTTGACGGCGCACTGGCAGCTATAAATTTAGTGAGCAAGATGATCGATGATAAAATGTAAGGTCAAAAAGGATAGTACCTGCATTATGGATACCAAGTATCTCGAAGGCTGACACTAGAGCCTGTCGCCTCGCGACACGAGCAGAACGCCAGTCCGAAACACCGCATGGAAGGGTGTCATTTCCCACTACAGATGAAGATCAGTAAATCAATACTACAAAAGATCTCGTGCAAGTATAGTGTTCTTACAGAACAGGGAGTACTCCCAGCGTACGGGCGATACACCAGTGAGGGATCGAACACGGAAGGTCGCTGTCTCGTACCTAGCGATTAGATAGCGCAGCATGTCTGGCGTATTGTCTTGATTGACGTATGATCAACGACGCAACCACATAGTATTGAATGAAGATCTAACCGTCTGAAGGTATGTCACCAGGAAGATTACTTGGCCCAGATGGTACATCTGTGATCAAGTGCACACTTTGCAGGGTGGGCGAGTTGCCGTCTCTCTCGTGCTGACCATCGAGGATAGCCTCTACCTCGTCTTCATCGTCTTCATGGTCTTCTAGGTCGATCTGCATGTCGCTCTCGGACGGCGTAGCATTCAAGTAGCCGAGGTTCACACAGGCTCGCCATAGGACCTGCTTCATCGCGGAGTTACGAAGACGCCAGTCTGATGTGGCCACCGGTTCAGTATCACTTCCCACTAGACACCTTCAGTGTCAGTCAACTTCCAAGGTATGAAGTTGAATACGAACCGAACATCTCAAATTTCCAGCACTGTGGAAGGATCCTTCCCGTACTTTGACCCTTCAACACAATCTGTCCTTGGTTGCGATTCATAAGGAACCGCAGGCGATCTGGAATGTTTTCTGGAGGAACACCTTAGAAAAATGGTCAATGTAGGAACGAAGCGCTCTTGACGATATGTGGACAATAAATGGCTAAATAATACGGATATGATGTACCTGGCGGAGGCAACATAGTAAGCACATCCCTTGCAGCGAGCTGTTTAGCTTTCTTGATTCGATTAGCCCGCCCAACACCTTTGTACCGCGTGATAACACCAGCGCGATGCGATCCGGTGGTCTGCGAGTCTGTCGGCCAAATAAATAGATGAGTGACAGAGGATAGAACGAAGGGGTACCACGCACGTTGAACGGTGACGGTGACAACCCATTTTCCTTGCGGATCTTGTATCGGAACATATCCAGCTACGAGACCTCGTTCCTTGATAGAACGATCAAGGATGGATACCGGATCAGACATGGTTGTACTCAAGGCAGATGAGGAAGGAAAAAATTGGGAGGACACGATTGATGCTGGACTCGAAGAGAAGGGTAAGCTACAGAACAAAAACCAGCAAAGAATACATCACCTCTTAAGTACCCATGATACCTGACACGTATACACCTCACTGCCGTGTCGCAGACCACACCGAACATTGTGGCGTAACTGTGGCGTACGCCAAGCTTTCGGTTGTAGGGGCATACTTGGAGTGACGGTCGAATAGTCTTGAAGGGAAAGAAGAGTTAATTTTGGGGATTTGAGGGATCGGTAACGCATCGTATGGTCGCTCCGCGATGGACCTTCAAACTAGCACAGAAAGCAGGGACATTTGATCTAATAAGGAAAGAAGTGTATTCGAAATGTTATGGCTCGCCGTCATCTGTCCGTGGACTGTTTATGCAGATTAGGAGATAAAACGACGAACCGATCCAATACCAATGATACTATGCTGAGTTCGAAGAATGAAGGTGAGTACCGGTGACCTGGGCTATGTGGTTCACGGTCATAGCGGTTTATTTGACGGTACGAGCTCCGCGGATAACTTAGTATTATGGGTGAGTTCATTATTTCATGTTTATGGCACAGACAGCTTAGGCAGTGAGGTACCTATGGGACGGATTAGACGGAGAGCTCAAAAAGACACCACGGAAAAGTACTTACAAACAGATGTGAATCAAGAACATGGAACAGACATTCGGAGATGGGCATATTGGCGTTGGTTTGAATTTTCAATGTATACCTATGACAGATAGACCGAGAATGAATGCCGACAAAAAGATGGAGCAGTAGCAGTTGCTCACGAGGGATGCCAAACACTACCTTTCATGGATTATGCGAGGTTAAACATAGCAAAAGTTAATGAACGCGAAAACGTTGTTCTATTCCCACGTGGTCTGCCAATCTGTCGGGCAGGATTCCCAGATGAACGCCACAGCTCGCCACTCGTAGGTTTAGCCAAAGAGACGGTTTCGGGATCGATTGCACGCTATCGTTCATGGTACAAAATAATTACTGGAGGAGAAAACAACGAGTAGGGGTTTTTTTTTCATAAAAAGAAACGAAGGTGGGTTTTTGTAATATACCGACCACGCAATGAAGCCACATGCCACACATCAGGGCAACAATGCACGCCAACGCCTAGCTTCAATGCTTACCACCGGGAGATTTACAAACTGTGCAGTAAGGGGAGCAGTCGGAAGTCTTGTGAACGACGAGTTTTGAGGAGCGCGCTACATTATTAATTACAAGCATAAGCTAACGAAAGTGTTCGGTTGTACGAAAGACGCAAATTGAACACAGGTAACGAGGGGGAGAATGAAGGAAAAGAAATCACTTACTTCGAGTGGAAATACCTTCGGAGGACGAAGATCCAGACGATGTCGCTGTGTCCATGATAAAACGTCAGGCCAGCGTTTAGAGATAAACAGCCGCTGACTGACCTGGTCGGGGCGGTAATAACGCCTCCATCGGTCGAGGGGTAGGAGAGACTGGTGACCGCGTCATTGATCGTTCTTGAGACAGCTTGCGCCGTTCTGAAGGCGATCTATAAATCTGTATGAAGATGTTGGCAAAAATAGGTCAAGACGCACTCGTGGAGATCAGATCGTCACTGACGGGTGGGCTACGTCTGAGACCTGTCGGTTTCTCAGCATAAGCACAGTGGACAGCATATCTTTAATCACAAAAAGAGAACGTACGGAAAGCAGGTGCTGAGAGTGTCGGACCACTGACCCTTGTTATATTCAAAAGTCCCGGTGTAGTCGCAGGGGGACCATGGGGAGGCGTCCTAAACCTCCCGGGAGGATGAGACTGGATAGGGATTACTGGGCGTTTTTGGTCTGGAAGCAGCATAGTCCGATTGTCCGGGGTCTGCAATTGGAGAGGTTGCACTTGAACGACCTGAATGGGTCTGACTTGAAGAGGAGGAGCGGGCATAATCTGAGGAGGCGCAGGCTGAATTAGAACCGGCGGGAGACGTTGAGGTCCTGATTGAGACACAGTGAGGGCTCTAACGGGAGGCGGCGGCGGTCCGACTTGGAAAGACGGCGTAGTAACAGCTTGAGATGGTGCGATAGGTCGTATTCCCGTCTCGGCACGTTGAACTGGAGGGGTTGGGGTGTGAGGAGCTCGAGGGGTGTGTGGTACGAAAAGGTTAGGAGGGAGGCTGTGGCGAGTCTGTGCTGGTGCCACAGGTTGGCTCTGCGGCGGCACGCGAGGATTGACCATCTCCGGAGGAGGCATAATTCCTAGAGATATTGAGTATCAGGAAAATCGCATCAATCACACCAGGAAGTAGATCACGTACGAGAGACGACACGGGAACCGTTGACGACTATCAACAACGTCAATAACTGAACATGCTGGATGAAACGATTACTTACCTGTCGGGGTTGTATGCGTAACCGTGATACCGCTAGGACCAGAGGGATACGCAGGAAGCTCCGGAAGCTATACCGAACAAAAACTTTAGCAGCAGGCCTCACCAGTCAAAGAGAGAGACGGAGATACATACACGTATCACCGGAGTGTTCAACCGCTCCTGTAGCAGGGTAAGAGCAGACGGTCCGAGGGCACGCTTCACCGCTATGAGCTCCGATTCCAATCTCATCTTGTCCCCCTTCTCCTTATGAAGATTGAAATGAAGCCATCGAATCTTATCATCCAAAAGGTCAACGATACCCTCCCACTCATCGTCTCTACGCTTAAACTGTTCGAGCCGTTCTTGGAGGTGCTTGATCTCGTCGAGTGGGGATTGGAAGGACTCCATTGTCTAAGACGGTGGAGCGAGCGACGAGAAGGGATGGGACAGGGATGATGGAAGGTGGGAGAACGAATGTTTAAATACCTTTAGTCCTTTAGAATAAAGGCACGACAAGCGTCTAATTTTTAGTACAACGATGGGGAAAAGCGACCGTGACGGTATCCAGAGTGGTACCTTTGCCCATTGCTCTCGACCATAGTCTTGATACGTACTATTGTGAATGGGGCTGGAATCTGGTTATGAGCGTTGCTGTATTGATTGGCGGCGGAGAACAACAGAATTACGACCTCGTAGCTGATCAGCTGCTCGCTTGGCTGAGGCATTAAACACCTGCATGATGAGACGGAACCCGGGATCGTATTTTCTCTCAGCATCACGCAGCAAACTAAATTGACGAAAACGGCATAGGAGACGGTCATTCTTTTCTCATTCCACGCCGTCTACATTCGAGCTTCTATCCACAAACATCCACCTAGTTGCAGCTTGAAGCAGGTCGCGACGCTGCGAAATATCATATAAACTTATGCTCTATATGCTGCTAAACCGAGCAATGACTTACCCGCATCCCTCTTCAGCGGGGGGCACATATCAGTGTCGAGATATATGTCGGAATCAGGTTCTAGGAGTGATCTGAGATCCTGAAATGAATGTGAAGAACGTCCGCTCACCTTCGGCTCCCACAGCGCTGTTAGAATTATCAGAAATGTCGTCGGATTGCTCCCTGAGCCAACGTACTTGATCCTCGGAGGTCTAGGACAAACGTTATAGAACAATGTGCCCTTTGATTGAATGAAAAAACGTACAGCTTGATCTTTCAACGGCATACGAGGCCTAAGAACCGTCCATTTCTCGATAGACTCCTCAATCGCCTTGAGAAGGGGAGCTATGATAGAGCGATGAGGATACTGCTTGCATACTGGAGAAAGTAAAGAATACCATCTGTGAAGAAAAGGTCAGAAAGATCGACGACAGTAAGAAAAGCTGAACGTACCTATATTCTCGCTGTAACCGGCGGCTACGTTGAGAAACCCGACAATGTTGTCGTAGCAATCCTGCAGTTGATTGTTCAGCAAGGCAAGGCGAGCGGTCATTTCACCATGCTGAACGAAGTGACGCTGAGTCGCCTGCCCAAGACTGCTATGCGCTTGCACTGCTTCGCGACGTGCTATATAGAGCTCGTTGCTGAGCTTTGAAACCGTATCCGACAGAGAATTGATGATGTTGGGGGCCGTAACAAACGAGATGGGAACAACAGTTTCAGGCCTGAACATAGCGGTAGGAGACGTGAAGGGTTTGTGTACGATGGAGCGGTCCATAGCTACTCAGTTGCGGGAAATGCAAGAGAAGGTAAAGTCACGGCATGAGGAAACAGTCCCTTTTTACCAAGAGTATCGTCCAGCATTATTACGGTACTGAAGGTTCACGGAAAGAACCGCGGGCTGCTAGTCCAATAAGGCAAGACACGTGTACAAACGTTGCCTTACATGTATCCGCGCACCGGCCGCTCGTCGGTCAGGGGCGTTTGTTGCGTTTGCTATGAAGTTGAGGCATTCAGCATTCAATAAACACATTTTTGGGTTTGTCGTCACGATTAAAACAGAATCAAGATGGGCGCCACTGCAGCGGTTATACAAGAACGGTAAGCTTTCGACCCATCGTAGAACGGGAGACCAACGAATATGTGTATATATATTTTTTTGAACAGAAAGTACAAGTATTTGGGTTTAGTAAGTATGAAAGAAAGTAAGCGAAAAGTATCTAAATCAACCCCACACGAACTTTATATTCTCGAAGGATCTCACGAGCATGTCGGAACTCGCTAGCGGGAAGCCAGAGATCGTCCTCGGGAGTGTACCCCAGCCATCTCACCAGAAAATAAGATGCGTCCGAGAAGATACGGTGATCCAATATGCATTCAATCTCATACTCTCGACGCCCATTGACCCACTGAGCTCCGGGCTCCATCTCGTCATCTGCATCAGACGCGTTCTGGTCAGAATCAGAACCCGCAGTAGCAGCGCAGCTTTCATCCGCGTCGTTGACGATGAAGTCGTCGAGTGAATCATCCCTAGACCCGCCTTCCATCTCAACATCACGATCACCGTGTCCTACGGGTGGTATGCCAAAAGCAAGGCTCAGAAGTGCTTGTGCAGCATCTTCTTCCGTCATCGACGCCCAACTCTCCGGCATTGGGAATCCTTCCAATGCGAAGACGTCAGCGTCTTCGTCTTCGTCAACGTCTTCTTCTTCATCAGTATCTTCGTCTTCCGACGATGCTTCGATAGCCTCATCTTCGACTGGCATGAGCGTATGACTTTGGCCATCGATGTTACGGTCGGCAATAGTATCCACGATGTCGCGCATGGCTAAATCAAGGGAGGGATGCTCTGCTGTACGGGCCGCCGTAGGAACAGCCTCCTCAATAACACATGAGCACGAGAAGGGGATAATAGACCGAACAAAACTCACTGGGCCATTCAACGAGCGCTCCGTCGATGCAGTCGTAGACCCACGACTCGGATCCACCTCAGAGGAAATGTCCTGAGGGTAACGGAGTGTTGGCTACAAATTGGTCATTATGGGACCAATATACAACCTTAAAAACAACGCACCATGGGATCAGGGTCATTTGAATGGACCAAGAAAGGCACAGACATGCGCGGTGTGTCAAACAGCGGTTGTGCCGGAGAAGGTGTGGGAGTGAGAGGGAATCTGAGGCGAGGAGGGAGGGTGGCGGAATGTATGCGAGCCCGACGCTAGTGGCCTTTCATCAATAAACATGTTCATGAATAGTATCGATACACACACCATCGTAGTCAGTCTCTCCAGTGATTGAGCCATAAAGATGTAGCTGTAGAGGTGAAGTAGAGTGTAACGGAGTCTCACTACAGTGAGTCCACACACTACGCCAGAGCCCGTGTTCTTATACTTACGGCGGTACAGTGGAACGGAAACCACTCATTCGAAAAACGAAAAAGAAAAGAAAACATTGGATTTTGATTTTTTTGTCGAAAGAGTAAATATGTTTATGTTGTTTAGGTTTCTGCAGCTACGTACCCTCATCATCGAAGGTCCCCACCACAACGGGAGCATACCACCCCATGTTCGCCTGATTACGATGGTCCAGGAGTTCGTCTTTGGCAGGCAAATGGCATGTTTCTCCGGCCAGTTCAGTCATCTGAATCTGGGTTAGCATGACAGATAGAGTACGGATATGAGAGATTCTGACCTGCTCTAAGTGATCTGCGCACATGACAGAGGTCACTCTACTGAAACTCAGGTAAATCGAGGTCCGAGGTATGGAATCTTCAGCATCCTCCACGGTCACGTCTATTGTGACAATAGCCTCTACGAGATCGCCGCGATAGAACTCCCTCGGACGACATACCGATAGAGTACCATCCTCGCAAAGCCTGGTAAGAGCCAGCTTATGGGCGATCATAGCATCAGTAATCAACCGAAGTTAGGGTTTTGGGTGGATGTAACGAAAACTCACATTAGCGTTTTGATATACCCTTCGACGAAGGCAGAGAACGGGAGGGATATCTGTCCGCGGAGGCCGAAGTCCCAGCTGGCTGTAACAGGAATCGAGGATAAGTTTGAGGTGTGCATTTTGTGCATCGAATCTTGACTTGAATGACAAATAGCCCCAAGTAAGCTGGAGCCATTGGAAAGGCTCATGATACGCAACGTCATCAGAGTCGCTGTGGCATAACTGTGAACACTTATGATACAGAATGGTTCGAACTGCTCACTGAGGAAAACTGCTGCCGTACTCATCTACACAACCGTCCGCGAATATGCCTTGTACCCTGACATTGAAATGCATGGGCAGTTTTGACGGTACGTGATAGATCACGTGGAAGGGATTCATTGAGTGGTCGACTATACTTGCGGCTGATACAACTCGGATGAAGCGATGAATGGCTGCTTCATTATCCGGAACCACCCGTGTGTTCGAATTGCATGAACGAACCTGGACAACTCGAAGGGGCGAGTTGTAGGGATGCAGCAGGGTCTGTAATCCTCGGTCTGTATCGGTACAACAGTCAGTACAAAGTAGTTAGAAGAAGTAGGAGACATACAAATGAGTTCCGACATGTCGAGTACAGATACATAGCATCGAAGCACCAAGTATATATATACCTTTGGGAGACGGCAGAACAGAAGAAATAGCAAGTTCGCGGCACCTCTTTTTTTATTCGGAATTGCCATGATATCTTACGGATAGACATGTCACAAGTGATTCGGAAAGATATTCAACAACGAATTGATATTTATAAGCGTGGAAAGGAGATGATCAACAATTGTGTAGTTTTTGAGTTATAGCGAAAGGATACGAAAAAAGGAGACTGACGAATTACGATTCAAGTGCAGATGATATGTTAGAAATAAGTTGCACGGGGGTTAACACTACCCTCAGAATGGAGTTTACAACCGCCACCGCAATGCGAACCGCCCATGATCCACTCTGGCTCCTCGAATGGATACAAGGTCTCGCCACGCGAGCGCGGACTGAATGCAAGATGGAGCGAACCTGCGTCGCTAAAACTCCTAACTACATGTGGGCAATGCCATGGGACGGCAACCTGGTTAACAGTATAGTCAGCTAGAGATGCCGATAGATAGTGAGAACAAAAGCACGGTATTGAGCGACTTTACCTTTACCTTCATCCTCTGTGCACCAAATTTCCGTAGACCCTTCGTGCTCCTTGAAGTATGCGGCTCTGCCTAGGTCTTCATGAGCGCAAATCAGATGTCGTTTATGAATGTTGAGACGCACCTCATTCTGCGCAAAGTCTCGGATAGAGAACCCACGACTCTTATACTTCTCAATGCAGCGCTCCACCCGTGGTGTGACATCTCGCAACGGATGAATACACCCGATACCACGCTCCGTTAGGGAAGGGTATGCAGAGCAGTATCCATCCGAAGTCAAGAAATTCATCACCAGCGTGCCCCAAAAGTACGAAAGCGGATGCAATGCGGAAATCCGCGAGCTGCAAACGACGTCGATTTTGGACCCTCGCGGGTGAAGCATGCGAATAACTGAAGTGATCCCGCCCTCATAATCGTCTATCCATGCCCAACACGGGTTGATACCGACAGGAACAATGAGATAGCCTTCCTTGTTGCGAAGATATTCAACGATGGTGATCGCATTGGAGACGCCAGTGTACACGTCGATGTCGGAAGCGTTTATCAACGGCTCCGTGGTGCCGTGAAGGCCGAAGTCGAGAGCGAATGAGCCGGAAATGATAGAATGTGAGGTGCGCATGACATCGCGAAAAGCAGAGGGATTGTCGACATAGGGAAGTAGGGAGAGATGGTATTTACGGGAAAGAAAACGTTGGATCAGCCATCGCCACCCAAAGTTAACGAGCATGAGCTTCTGCATGTCTGTAAGGGAGAGCGTAGAAAGAACTTGGATAAGAATTTCGAGGGGGAGATCTTGGAGATACATTGTTGGCGCTACTTACGAATTTCTTGTCCTTTAAAGAAACCTACACCCCTAGACGGTCATTTTCGTCTGAAATTACCCAGACCGTGTGAGGTATGGGTCAATAAGACAAGACTGAGGGTCAAAGTAACCCAACATACCACGTCAGAGTCCACGGTCTGTTCATCTAAACTGCCGATGTCCGGAATATACACGTATGCAGTGAACCTTCATCGAACAACCTGTCCGACTCGAGCGAAAGCAATCTGATACGAGGTACAGCACTCAGTGAATAGTTTACAGCCACATGGGGCCCAAGACATCGGAACCAAGAGAGCGAAAGCTGTTGGGCCCGCAGGTTAGAGAGAACTTACAGCAACGCATGACAAGAACGAGCGGCAAGTGCAGACAACGCTACATCAGACACGTGGCTGATTTTCGTAAATCATTATTTATGATAGGTTATGATTACTATTTCTGTCACCCGGTAAACCCCGCCCGTGTTCAATTTTGTGGAAACTGATTGACAGTCAATACAGAGAGAGACAGACGCAGAACGGCAAACCAGCGACATCCTGAACTGTTCAAGCATATACTGTGGCCCGCATGTCGTATTAGCTACGCCATTCAAAGTTTGATTTCTCGTAGCCAAGAACCTGCACGCCACACTCAAAACCGGACTCATCAGTGGATGTACTTCTTGGGCTCCCAAGATATAAACACTTCACGCTCCATTTCTTAGTACCTCAACACTTCACATCTTGCTCAGCCGTAAAATCTGCATCAGCTTGTCTAAATCCTCCAGGTGATGGTCCTGCCATTGCGTGGCTTGGGGACCCGACGGTCGGTTTCACCGTGTGGCGACGTACAGGGTGTCCACGGCCCTTCTCAGTCGACGTCTACCTTGGCATGCTTATCGACATCACTGACAGAGAACTTCACGACTGAGAGCACCTCACGATGCTCAGCTGTCACCCTTGGTGGTGGGGATGTCATCCGCACGAATCGCGACTCAGAACCGGTAGTGACGCGCTCGTTCCCTCTCTCTCCCAAATCGGATTGTACGCCGTAAATGACAGTATCTTTGATGTAGCTGACGTTCTTCCGTATAGATTCTCCCTCGAGTTCAACTCACCTCGAAGTCAGCTCTAGCGAGGATACATACTATCGACAACACGGTTTGTTTCACCCCTTTTTCTCAGCGCACTGTCATGTTTCTCATACCAATCTCTCTTCTGCGACAAGTGCAGAAGACTGTTCGTCGGCAGACAGAAGTATGCCGACACCACCTAGCTCGCCCACCTTTCAAGCTCCGCGAAGTCGATATAAACGTGAGCTTCGCTAACTTCGCTGAACCCCACATCTTACTACTCTTTATATATTGATGCTGTCTTCATTTTCAAAGGCTGTTCTTGCATACACGTCAGCTCGCCTAGTACCCGAGGCCCAGTCGGTCACATTGCCTAACTGCCTATTTACCAGTCCTAAGGTTATCCTATCTATTTCATCCCACAGGTCCGACGTTATGAGGAAATAGACTCTGATGGTGACCCACATTCCGTCACTCTGGGACGTTCTCATCCGAGAAAGGTTCGACGAGTCGAACGCCATACCGATATACGTCGCTCTACCAGACAACTTATATCCAAGCTCAAACAACAACATGTCTGCGCGGTGCACCTTCGGGAGAACAACGAGCCGGGACTCTGCTTCGTGTCACCTTCAGGTATCCATATTCATCTCGAGGACGACCACCTTACTATCTGGGCATCGGCTTTGGTGAGCACATGACAGATGCATCAACATGTATCCGTTTGCGTGTACTTTCTTACATGGATTGCAGCTCGCAGACGAAGACTGCACGATTTCCGTGCCTCCGAAGAGTACGGGTCTGATGGATACGCCAGGCAGTGTACGCAGTGCTACACATTCTCGCAGTACGGTATGCAATACAACCAATCTCGCGGTTTACTCTACTCACCTAATTCTGAGAGGTAGGGTCTGCTCGACACTCCATTTGGCGGCAGACCATCTGACCCTTCCGCCTTCTACGCGATGCAGACGGAATACAATCTACCTCCGCGTATTCGCTCTACCGAGGATGCTTTGAACATACCGCTTACGTCTACCCCATCTACCCCTGTCAAAGCAAAGACGGCTTTCGTTTTTACTTCGCCGGACATCACACCGAACGACAACGTTCGTCGCTTGCTGGCTGACTTTGCACAGCACAGAGGTATCGATATACAATCAGAGTTGCCTGTCATAGAGGACCAGGGCCTTGGGCCGCAGTCCATCTTGGCGTGGAGCAAAAAGACCCTTTCGAGACTAACTGGAATTAGCGAGGAGCTCGTGGTTGAGCTACAGGCTTTCTGTGGCGAGTGGATTGACGGACTACAAAGAAAGAGAGGACTCTTGTAGTCCTCTTGTAAAACCCATATATAGCTATACATATACACCCTACTCGTTTTCAATTTCGACTCTTATAAAATAATGCATATCGAGAGTAAGACATAACTCGGAGCTATAGCTAGTTTCCGAAACTCTAACGCAAGTCCGCGGGTGCTTATCCCGACCCATCGAGTGAAACAAAAGGATGCAGTACTCAGTGAATTTTTATGAGCTTATCCGTGCTGTGACCAGATGGGATCTGAGTATTTTGCAAGATACGACATATGACTCAACGAAACACCAACGTCTATTCAAAATGGGTGTATTGTCTCGGCCCCTCCTACATGCCATGTTTATCAGACGCAGACATCGGGTGGTAAGAAAATCATCAGTCTTGGGATCAACGTGAAACGGGTCTTTTATGGATTATTTGGTATAGGAGTTTCGAGACTAAGGACTGTACTATACAACTCTCGCCACACGGAATCCCCAGCTAATCCAAGAAAGATATGTCCATAGGAGGAAAGCGAGAGTTGAGTGTTTCTAACAGCTCCTCATCTGCGCTCTAATCAGCAACCATATGGATAGCGAAACACGAAACCGACTCACCCTGCCCAACAGTCACATCACCGGCATTGTCATACCCCACGTGATCAGCCTCAGAGTACCTTTCATCCAGCCTGTCCGGAGGAACCGCTGGGTCTAAAGTTATGTGCTGCATGATATTAGATTAGTTTCAGTCGCACAGCCTATAGTACAAGACTCACGGGACCCAATGCTCGAGCAACCCTAACGATCTCGTCGAAGGAGAAATAAACGGCAGTGCGAGGGAGAGTGTCATCCCCACGATACACAGCAATGTCCACGAACGCACGGATGTCTAAAATGTCTCCTACACCAAGACCATCCACGGGCAATTCTTCAAGCAACATGGAGGATTTGTGGATCTCGAATATGCCCAAAGGAACGATCGGTTCCTTCTGTTGAAAGGTCAGTGTGTAGTGAACCGGGGTGATGAAGATCACTACGTACCCCCTCGGGTTCACGACGTCGAAGGTGTACTGCATCAGGCAGAGACAACTGTGATGGTGGCAACCCTACCTGTGCTTTACAAGCATCCGCCACAGCACGCAAGACCCGTACTTGTTCTTGAAATCTCTCCTGGTGATCGTGAATGTCGCACACTAATCGCACCCAACGAACACGCTCCCATCCACTAGAAATAGGTCGACTATAAAGCACCTCAGTAAACAACTATCCTGCATTAGAATGGAGCATGTCTAGATACTTACGTGACGAGTACTCCACTAGCGAGCGCGCCTTTCTCTAGTACGCCTTGAACACGAATCTCAATACGGGGACGAGGAAAGGATGAAAGTGGACCGGAATAGACGACATCGAAAGGATAATTGAGGAAGTTGCGGGTAGAGCAAAGACCAGAGACGACTTTTAACCATCGTCGGAGACCATCGTTAGTGTTCGGAACATGGGTGTCTTCCTCTGATACAGACCAATCCAAGGACCCGTCACTTGTAACTGTCGCGCGTAAGAATGCAGCACCATCTCTCCCTGTAAAACAAAAAGTCAAAAACTGCGAAATGGGTAGGACAAGAAGGCTCACATCGAATGATAGACATGGTAAACACGAGCGGACAACGGATTCAGTTTGGGCTCCTTAGATATCATTCAAGGAACTCACACGGACCTGCTACGCGAGCTGTAAAATGAAGTTTGGAAATCATCAAACGCCGCGGACCAGTCCTGTTTCTCGGGATACGGCCCAACATAGCACATGTGTCATTGATCATTAAAAGAGAGAGGAAAACGAGTTCGATTTTGGGTTTTTATCGTGATATAGAAAAGAAAGGAAAGAATTTGATTGGTATGAAAACACGCTCCTGATCAAAACAGTGAGTAATATCCAATGGCGCAAATACGAGCACCACGTACCTATTCCATCAACGTCCGAATATAACGCCGAAGCTCCCTTTCCCCGAACACATCACCGACCTCGTTTCCAGACTTGAGGTACCACCACAAGGTTCGCCCAAGCTCTGTGTCATCAATCCTTTGTGATGTCTCCCACCTTCCACCCGTCGGACCGTTCAGAACAACGAGAACGCGTCCTCGTATCATCGGGTGATGTGAAGGCTTCACAATGTCGGCGATAGGGTTCGGGGCGCTGGTGATGTCTAAAGACCTGGCATAGAACGCGTAGTACCAATCGTCAACCCTAGAATCGCGATCGTATGCGTTCGTGAAGCAGTGGACATCCTTCGATCCAATGAGGTCCATCAAAGACTGAGTACTGACGGCGCCATCTTCGTCGAATTCGACAAGACAAAGATCGAGGTGAGAGTGAAGGGATGTGGGATCATGCAAAGGAGATAAACCATAGTCGTCTGGATGAATGATGACACCAGACCACTTCGGGGGAGGATGTTGATCGACCGCGACAGCGTCCCATTGTGCATTGGCGTATACGAAGGACATTCTCTGGCAAGGGAAAAAACCGGTCAGCATACAAAACACAAAGTGCGTAACGAGACTGCAAGCGACTTTACCTCCAACGTCACAGACCAGGTTGGGTTCCATCGCTTCACCCGCTCAAACACGAAGCGTAGCCTGTCCTTCTTCTCGGGCCAAATTGAAAGGATCTCCGAGAGAGCAGTGGTGAGTTCGGCGTCGGTAGGTTCGCGCATATCGTTTCACCAGCACCGTCTTCACGCAGTGCACTCTGATATAAACGAAACGGATAACATCAGTATCAACTTAAATTACTGCACAAGGAATACGAAAACAGCCTACATTACCTATGGAATATCGGTTTACATAAAGAAGAAAGATTACAGTTCAAAATGCGGTGCAGATGGGAAAAGAGAGATACATAGGAACAAACAGCCAGAGAAAAGGGATTGCCGTGACAGATTACCGAAGGGAAACGAAGATGGTGCGCGCGATCAAAACTGTATGATCTCAGCCCCACCGCCGGGCTCTTGACCCAAGGCACGCGCAAGACGATTGGAAGGAGGGTACGAGCACTCAATACCTCGAGTGTAGCATGACCTGCAAACAGCTGAGGTACGTGTCCGGTGAAGACGGGAGGCTACGTACATGCATGATTCTCCCGTAGTAGGAGAGGCGCCTATGCATCTGGTTTTCTTGCCTCTGCACGAGAGACAGGCGACCAAGGTCGGCGATGTCACCTCTGAATACCGATGATTATCCGGAGAGACAATGGGTATTGGACTTGGCGGAGGGGATGTTCTGACAAAGTAATCAGCTACAGGCCAGATGACTATTTACCCAAAATTCACCCTTGACGATTGGATCGACTAGACAGAATACTGGACGACGCCGTTGAGCCCGAACTAGCCCATGACAAGGGATGCAGTCGAAACGGCTACAAAATGTGAGGTGGACAATAAATTGAGTATCACCCACAGTCGAGATCTTGAATTAGACTAACATCGCGACGTTGTTCCTGCGGTAGAGTAGCCACCAAGTCCTCCGGGCGCACGTTGCCAATGAATTCTAGCTGAGCTTCAATTTCACGCTCCAAAGATTTTGCGTGCTCGAGAAGAAAACGTAGATTGTCCTACCCAAACAGCTTCAGTAAAGCAGAGAGTATAAGGTAGCCCACCAACCTGAAGAACTTTGATAACGTCCATGTTCATGATGACAGAGAGAACGAGAGAAGAGGAAACGGGCCAGGGTGCCGGTGCAGGACGTGGCATGGCGCTCGAACACGTGAATGAGTGGCACTACCGAAAAGTTACGCCACATGTAAGACCGACAAGTTGTCTTACTATTTTGAAACTCTCAAAAACATCCCGCAAATAAGACAACGAATTCAAGATTTATTGGACTTTTCGTGGCGTAGATAGAAACAGAAAAAGACAAAGACAAAGACAAAGACAAGGAGAAAGAGAAAGTCGAAGAGAAAGTCGAAGAGAAAGAAAAAGAGAAAGAAAGTCAAAGTCAAAGTCAAAAAGAAAGAGATGTATGCAGTGTAAGTCATAAAGAGTAAAAAATCTAAATAAAACCTGAAAATGGACGAGAAGACGGCACAGGACTGCGCCTGACGAGCTCATCCGGAATTGACTTCAGCAACGAGATGGAGGACAACTCGAACATGGACTTGTACTCCACGAAGCCCTTCTTCCTCGCCCTCGCCTGTTCCTGCCAAGTCTTCTGCTTATTCAAAGCCTCCACCGTCGAGAACCGAGTAATATGAGCCTCAACGAGCACCACATCCCCCACGTTCAAGTCCTCAACGTCAACACGGTCCATGTTTGACTTCACCTGGTAACGGCTTCTCGCGTCATAGCACTCCCTGAAAGGCACAACCTATCGATAGAACAGGTCGCCAAGATATTGATGACAGATTTGGTAGCAAGACTGAGTAGTAAGACGTACCTCCATCTCTCTCTGACGAGGAAGGCGGACTGTCTGCCAACGAGAGGCATAGAGCCGACGATGGTTGGTGTCAATCGCTACACGAAGACGTTAGTTTCGCAGAACGAAGTAACACAGGGTGTACGGGAATGCGAATGACTTACTCTCAGCAGGTTTCGAGAAGGTTTTCTGAATCTTGTAGCCGACACGAAGACTATGCTCCGTCAAAGGGGACAAAGCGACTGTGACCTTCTTCTTGGGACCACCATCCGTTTCGAACATATAGAGGCGATCGATCAAAGCGGTTATCCATGTAGTAACAGGTACTGAAGGATTTCCACGGATGCAAAGCTTGTTAGCAGTGTGGTTTTCCGTCGATCCCCACGTCATATCTTGAAGGGGGAGACAGGAAAGAGAGTAGACGCTGTCTGCTGCGTTTGAATAGGTCAACAGAGCCTCAAGACGCCTGTAATACCAAGATTATCAGCATTATCAATTAAAAACATGACGGAGAAAAGAATACCTTTTAAGTGTCTCATCGAAGTCAGACCGAATATCATATCTCAACATCTCATCTACAACGGGGGCACCGTCCACAAGGCTAGAAGTCGGTTCGGAATCAGTTGTGTCATCCGGAGGGGAAGATGCGCCGTTCGTTCCATCCGTCGAGGTGTCTTGGTCATGTTGTGAGCTCGTTGTAGTACCACCGACAAGCCTGAGTCTGAGAACGGTGGTGGGTGGGCCGGAGAAACCGTTGGAGGAGTGAAGAGTTGCGCCAGAACCTGTGTTGGGAGACACATCGTCTGGGCTGGGAGCGGCATCGTCCGAGTCTGAGCGGTCAATGTCTCGACTGGGAGAGGCAACGTCAGAGGTGGAGGGAGCAGTGCCCGAGGGGGCAGAGTTGGAGAACGTCTGTTCAGGACTTTCGCTGTTTTCCTGGTCGTCATCTTCATTGGGCGAACTGAATACCAATAACATCAATATCGATAAGTCGATAGTCTGAATGAAACATACTTCGCAACATCTGGACCGCCCGGTGAGCTACCAGGAGGAGGAGTAAGAGCTTCATCATCTCTAACGACAAACAGAAGAGTCAGTACAGTTCATCAGCCATGGACAAGACACTCACGACGCATCTTCTACAATCTTCCTGCTGTTTCTGCTACACAATCAATACAGAGTATCGAAAATTGAGGGAATACGACCAACCTCGTTCTCTTGGAGGGACTTTTGTTGGAGTGTAAAGACGCTAGGGGGCTCTCGTTGGAAGTGACTTGGAAGGTACGTTTAGAGGGAGCCATTTACAGAACTTGGTGAAAAAAGGACGCTGAACATTGACGCATTTTATACTTATCAGCGCCTTGAGCAGAGCTAGTACTATGAGAGACATAAAAAGCCACATGAGTTGCTCATACATCGTAGGTTGCAGGGTACACCATAAGCATACGAAATAAAGACAAAAACTGTTGGCAAATGACTCTCCAACTTTTCGCCGTGCTCGTGACACGGGATTCCAAACTGAGCACACAAAAAAAGAATGTGCACAGTCGAACTCAGGACCGTGCAGATTATAGAATCTTGGGTACAGCATCGAGACGGACAATACGAGAAACGGGGTTTTGGATACAATGAATCCTCCCTGTGCTCGAAGTCGGCAAGTCTCAGATTCTGCAGCAATACCGGAGACGAAGGGTGTGACGTTTGACGTGGAAGAAGTCTGTCTAGCCGACCCATAAGATTCAGTGCGGGACAGTGAAACCACTCAAACAGAAAGTAGAATAAAATCCGCGGTTACCGACCATAACGGTCAAGTCGCAACCTCGACAATGCCAGAGAAAGCGTATTTTTTCTCCGCTCAATGGCCATAAGGTTCAGAGGACGTGATTGATAACCAAGGTGAGAAATGATGGTATCAAAGGCAGAGAAAAGTTTTTCTACCATCCAATACACCAGGAGGTTGGAAAGAGAAAAGTTCACTTCGTATTGAATAACTGTAATATTCGGGATTGCAACGCCGACACCAAAGAACTGTTCTTCACGTACCTGTAGATTATCGATATATTCCGAAGGTGTCGGGCTATCAAACCTTCCGAAATACGCGGACTTTCAAGATTTCCTGACGATGGGCATAACAGACCGTGATGATGCTTGTGATCGGAGTGCACATCATAAAGCACCGGTAACACAGCATCTCACCAGAGCTGTGTCGCACGCCAAAAACACCACCATGTGAAACTGAGTCGTTAACGTGTCGAAAATAATCAGCAGGAAGGAAGAAAAGAAAGAGACATGCGAACCGAGACAAATGTATGTCGCCGCGGACAAGCCCAAGTGAAAAGTCAAATGCCAGTATGAATGAGGTTACGAAGTCCAGTTGACATAGAGATCGAAAGCAAAGATTAACAGACCTCAAATAGGAAACTTCAATGAGCAAGACATGAAATCGGGGAACGAACAGAAAGATCGACTTGAGATCGACGCGGGCGACAAAACCAAGTCCAGTGCAGACATCCATGCGCCAGGAATACGGCTCTGGAGGGTGCCACAGTGTGGCCCCTCGACGTGCCTCTGCCCAGACATGCTTATACCTAGTTCGCTATATAAACTATCATTGAGCTCAGTGCAACGATGTAGCATGTCACTTTGAGATGGCATTCATCCAAGGTGAGCGACGCTCTCCATTCTACTATCGTGATTGAACCCGTATGCTCACCAACTCTCACTAGATCCTATAACTCTTGGACTTGTTCGCGACGATTATCCCGCAAAGATCGCCCGTAATGCTTCGGAGCCTACTGACTGGGAACAGATGTCGAAAGAGACATGCGTACCTCTGGGATTTGATGACTTGTTTGACTGGGTCAAACTACAGGAGCTCCCTTTCTCTCCCGACCCAAGTCGAAAATGGGAGGTCGTTCATGTACCGCACTCCGATACGTTCGATGAGAACAGCCTGAGTCCATCGCCACAAACTTCGCTACGACGCATGACGATACGGATATACGGTGTCATAGGCAACCTCAATCTCATGGACTTTGGCAATTGGGACAGGTAAGCTCCTCGATGAACATAAGCTGGCGCGACTGACCGTTTACTTTCAGAACAGAAGCCGGGGCTGCAAAAGCAATGCAATTCCTTTCACTCAGAGCTGGCCCCTTCCAACTACAGTTCTCGGCTCAGCAAGCCGCGCTCGCAGATCTCAGAAAGATGGTCTTCAGGTTACTCGGTGAACACGAACCGAATACCAATTATAACCCAGACGAGATGTTCTTTCATAGGAGAGCGTTCAACAAAGTAGGTCCTAGTCAAAAATCCTTCACACAACCTAACATATTTGGACTTGAAAGATAGACGGATTCGGATTTCAACAACCTCTTACATCTGCTCTCGACTCCGACGAGGCTCGTCTTGCGGCTATGGCCAGTAGGTGGACTCCGACTGTGTCCCCGCCTTACGGTCGCAAACTTGGTGACGGCTCTATCAAAAAGACAAATCCTGCCGTTTTCAACCGTGGAGATTTTGTGGACGTCACTGCTGCAATAGAGATCGCTTCCATAGGAAGAGCAGCAAAGGATCGTAAGACGAACGTCCATTTCACCTTTACCAGAGTCGTGAGGCTTCTTACAGCATACGATCTGAATGAGGTGCGTCCAATCTAGTTTTCTACCCCGAATCACTCCTCATCTTCTCACAGATACTTGGAAACTCCATCCCACTCTCGGCCCTCATCCCAGACATCCAGGACGAGAGAATGGACTTCGAAGCTGGTTCCGACGAAGATTGCGCTACATAATACTTACCATCCATGTCCGTTCCCAATCCAAACCACAAAACCGTATTCGATATTTTTCTTTGTCCCAAACAGTATACTTAGGCCCTACAGGCATATCCTGCCTTTTCATTACCTTTCATCTTCATTCAACTGCCAAATTTCTCCCACATGTTCATGTGCGACGCACTCTATCTGACCATCTCAGAATCTTCAACAATGTTCAGCAATCCATGTGCGCAGAATATAGCCTCTTCAGATAATATTAAATCCTTGAGTTCGCTCGATTCGATCGACTAGCGTGATAAAAGCACGCTTCCGTATATGAAAATTCAGAGAGAAAAACTGCAAGCTTCGACTCTAGTGTTGCCACGGCTCGGCTCAGAAAGCGCTAGTCGCTCGAGCCGAGCCGCGTCAACGGCTTACAACGGCTTCGTGCGTCTAGTGGCCCAAGCCGTTACACACTTGCACAACGACATTACATGCAAATGCTTGTCTTGTAAGTAGAATCTACGTATCGGAGAACCTCCAAAGCCGTAGTCTGAAGAATGTTTGAGGCTTTCGCCTTCATGTTTGACAGCAAACATTCTGTGCATCGGTGGCGACTTTTCCCGACACGCGACCCCTCCACGCCACATTTACGACACATCATTATGAGTAGGAAACAACTCTTTTTTTGTGGAATCTGACTTGATAATCCACTCAAGAAACACAGCGGCAGGACAGTATTTACCCGTACATTATACGCCATGGCTCAAACAAGTCCTCTGAGGGCGAGTATGTATGCATGAACCACTCAGGCAACGAGCTAAATTGAGTCGCGGCTCAAACCGTCAGCCGAGCCGAGCCGAGTCGCTGCATGGGAAAAGCTGTTGCAAGTCAAGCCGAGCTGAGCTGAGCCGAGCCGTGGCAGCACTACTCGACTCTACGACTCCTTTCGGGCGCCACAACTCCGCCAACAGCAATTGTGGCCTACACATTCTTGTATTTACACCTCATACCTGAACCTTGTCTATAGCTTGGAACCACTTTGTTCAATACTCTGTCTATGTCAACACCTGACTTGAAATACATACGTCTTATAGCTCACCTCGCTGATATGTCTCTAGGTTCTGTCATCATGGTTCTCCCTCTGTCGCCGATTACACACACCGTCGTTATCGCTGTCGATGTTTTCCGTCTCATTCATGTTCTCGTGCCTTTTTTCGAGTACCTGTTCAGCGACGTCTCTGACCCTCAACTTGTGCACAACTTTGGCTCATCAGCATGGAGAACTCAATGACTACGACGTAATGCGCACGTTTAAGTTCAAGTAATACTAGAACGGTACCCTTCAGAGATCACTACAATTGGTGCGTTACTTTCACTCCGAGCAGTCTTCAGGCCCGTACCGTTCCTCCAATGCGAGTTCTCCGAATGTACATCCCTGATATATCACCAGACAGCTAGGCTGTTTGATGAGCATATGAGGCTGCAGAGCGGGGCGGAGACGTAGTTCGCCCCGACGGCCTAAAGAAGATTTAGCGACGTTCGGACATGCGAAGGTTGTAGACGTGAAACCATAGTTCTTGGCTTCCCCTTTCTTCACCGAATGGAGTATTTGCAGATCACGGCGGAGCAAACGCCCATTCTATGTAGCTCCAAATGATAATCGTCATTTCTTTCCCTACAAAAGAATGGCAGAGACACGCGCTGTGATCGTCGACTAGTAAATACATTCAGGTTTTACCAGAGACGAGCAGCACATACACATAGGATGCATAGCGTCGTGGACATCCGAACGCCCTTCCACCAAAATTCACCCCTGCCTGCCCTGTCGGTATGTGGCGATTTTATGAGGACCTTGGCTATTTCGAGTTCTAGGAGACGTATCCGAGATAGCTTGCCTCCGAGGCTGAAGGGAAGGCTGACAGCGGCCACTGTCAAATCGGTCACGGACCGAACCTGACGCTGGCATTGGCTTTGAAAGATTGATATGTTGAATGGGACATGAGCACTACGTCGTAGAAGAAAAAAGACGAGATAATCGATGGTCATTCTCTACAGTCCGACCGTCGATGGGGAAAGACTTTTCCTTGCAGCGTACAAAATTTGCCAACCGATCGAAGGCTGGATGTAAGACAGTCTTGCCTACATCTTTTTATCCACTAGACAATACTGCTTCTTGCTCTGCAACTCGACAGTCGATGAAATACGATGACTTTCCATACCTGAATATCTGCACAAGTGCCCCTGCTTTATTAACGCGTTTTACGACGGCTATGACCGCACTTAGAGACTTCTCCGTGTCGCCTGATGTGTCCCATTCGGCAATACCTAGAGCTGTCATAGACCAACCACAACATCTTTGGGCTTATCAAGAAACATTCGAGGACGGTACTATGAAGAAGAGAAGATCTTCCCAGTTCGTAGACTGTACTTCAAACATACACTGAACATCACAAGAGCCCCACAAGATCTCGATATCAACTTCTTCATATTCACGGGTCAAAAGGTGATACCAAAACGGATCGTGCAAAGGAACGTAAATAGATAATTGCTCTTCAAACCCAAATGGGACAACAATTTCATCGCTGACGGTCCAAGAAAGGGTATGTATGGAAGCGTGATTGGTCTGAGCAATTTGAACGCACGGAAAGTCCGAAAGGGAAATGAGAGTAATGTACTCGGAAGACTGGGTCACGGACAGGATGAATGCTATGATGATCCGAGGATATGGGGAGCATGTGGGTACATCGAATCCGCAGAAGATGAAATCGCTCACTACCCTCAACGTCCACTCACTATCCTCAACGTCCACTCCATCTCCTTTGCCCGTTCCTTTGTCATCAACTCTATCCTCTCCCATCCCTCTATCTTCGCCTTGATCTCATAGTTTGTATCCGTCAGGTAAGGAATTCCCTCCTCGTCAATAGCTAACAACCAGTATTGGCTAAGGATTTTTACCTTGGTGTAAGGCGCCTTGTAGCCAGTTGGGAGCTCAACTGGTTCGAATTCTGGGAAGGTGAGCAGTGACTCAGCTCTGAGCCAGCGGGGTATCGGTTGCCATATCTCCGGGTAAGGAAGATTTGGAATGGGGAGTGAGGGTGTAGGTGCTCGTCCTTCGAGGAAGGCATTGTAAACCACAGAGGTCGAGGGGACCGTGATGGTGCCGAAGGTGGCATCGAGAGACGGTTTGGGGGAGCATGGATAGATGAAAGCAAGGAGAGTGAGGCGACCACGGACGGTAAAGAGCCATCTTCCGATCGCCAGGCGGTATCTGGTGTTGTGATGGAAGATGAATGTGTCGTAGTTCTCCGCGACGCCAGGTCGGGTTCCACTTCCTAGGCGGAGTGGGTCCGGTTGAATGATAAAGTGAAACTGGAGGTCGGGGTTCTCATCGGCAAGGACGTGGCGCCAGATGGTGACCACGGGGTGTTTCATGTCAAAGAATGACTTTGGACCCAGTAGGAGATGGGCCTCTAGACTTGGGAGGCGGGGGAGTCGATGTGGAGGCATGAATATGGTGAATGCAAGGTATATATAACTACGCTAACAATGAGTCTCTAGATATGCGCGGGCGCCCCATCCTCAGACTCTCACCTGTGGTTATAATTGGTTGGGAAAATTTGGTGAACAAAGGGGGGGCTTAGAAAAGATTATCGAACGGAGGGGATGAGAGCGCTTGACAACTGCTTCCAGAGCAACCACAGATTTGCTGCGTTTTTTCTGGCTGGCCAGGATGTTCTGTATGTTCGGGCGCCGGCGCACGTAAATGTGATTTGATAAGTCTTGGCTTTATATGGTTGACGGCTATCTGAAGTACGTACTTATTGCCTATTTGGTTATGATGTGGGTATCCGTCCAGTGATCCACACACCCAAAAATAAAATCAGAAAGAGAATTATGCATATATTGTTCGACTTTACTTTTCCAGCTTTAGGGCGAAAAGGCTGAGGCTTTTGCTACCACTTATTCAGGAAAGTGGGCCTCGGGCCTGTCTTCAATGACTTTGCCTTCAAGGTCGAGGACATGAGAGCACTCTCCTTCAGACATCCTATCCTGATAATCAAACACGATAGGCATATACCCAGGTGAACTTCAGAATGTCAAGGATACTACCAAGAACTCGGGACCCGGAGTTACCGTACCGAACATTCAGCATGTCCTCCCTCGAAGAAACTAATCGCTTCGCAGTTTAGGAGCTCAAGTTAGCATAGTCAGTAACAAACTTTAACAGACACTCAAGAGGGCCTCACAATTCCTGGTCTACGCTATCGGTGTGACTATGATATTAAATCAAGATTCGAAGTGGTGTCCTTGTATTCACACCACCACAGAGTCCAGAATTCCCAATCCGACTTTCTGCCGAATTTGTGGCGTGTGGCAATAGATAAGATAGTCGGAGTTACAAAAATGATCGAAGTGTCTCTTCGGACAGGCGCTCTAGCCTGTCCATCTCTTCTCGAAGATCGTGCTGTAGAGGTTTTGCGACTTTAATGGTGGGGAACCATCTCAAGATGGCCAATCCTTCCAACGTCTTCACACGCGACAACATCACGTAGGCGCTCTGAGCGGTTCGGCATCCAGCTAAGTCGATGATCACGGTATCCAATGACCTACCTTGGGCCTTGTAATCTGTATAGGCGTACGCAGGTAAGAGGGGAATTTGCCAACGGCTGAACGAGAACTTCTTCTTGTCAGGTGCAATATAGTCGACCGACCTCCTTGTGGGAAATATCGGAACCACGTCTGGCGGTATATCCTTAAGTTTTGCACCACTGCCCGGAACATGCACATACACACATCTCGCAACTTTGGTACCGTCTTCCATGTCATCCCATTTAACATGCTGAACCACCCCTTCCGCTCCATTGACAGTTTTATGTCCAATATCAATATTGTCCGTTATCATGACTTTCATTCCTTCAAATAGAGGCAACTGACCAAGCGAATCATGTGTCAAACTAGAGCGAAGCATCAACATTTTCTCGCGCTTCATTCCTACGAAACGCTTCCCGTTTCGTTTGTCTATGGCTACAAAGTAATGCAGAGGCTTTCCGGCAGCTAATGCCTTAGTGGTTGCTATTTTGACATTAATGGCGTCCCGAAGCGTCTTCTCTGCCACAATGATAGGGCAATCGCGAAATCGAGACAGGTCAGTACCATTCTTGTTTGCCTTATGCTTTAAAACATTCAGCTGTCTATCAAGTAGAATCTCATAATCCGAGCGCGACTGATCAGGACCACGCTTGCATCGTCCTTGGCCACGACGTATCCGAGACAGCATGGCGGCATATTCAGGATCAGCGGAATGTCGCCAGTTTTTCTTCAACCCTACGACTCTATTCAACTGGCGCCATAAATATGCTCCATACATTGATGTTTGTCCGGAAATACTCTGGCCTTGGTTCTGCTTTATCTGACGCACTAATTCACGCGCAAAGAGCGAAGATTGGGATACAGGCATCAGCTGTCCGAAATCGCCCAAAAATATCATATTTACACCACCAAACGGTTTGTCAGAATGCTTATCCTTCCACCCTCTGGCTGCTCTGAGACGTTCATTGACATGAGCAAGAAAAATAGCCCCGATCATAGACACCTCATCGATGATCAAATAGTCTACGTCTTTCCAAATATTTGTCAACGCCTCCCAGTCCACACGTTGATTTTCTGCCTTTGGGAGAAAAGTAAGGGCATGTATGGTATATCCACTGATCAAGACTGAAGCAATTCCGGTAGGTGCACTGAGAAGAATCCGTGAACGAACTTGACAGCGAGTAAATAAATCCACAATAGCTCTCACGACATGACTTTTGCCTGTACCGCCTTCCCCACCAACATACATCACCAACTGTTCAGCCGAGCCCCGCAGAAGATGCTCTCCTACAATACGAACAGCCGCCTCTTGTTCTAGGTTGTCGCTAATATTCAGGTCTTTCAAAACGGCCTCGATGACTGCATCAGCAGCTCTTCGATATGCGCTTTCGGGGGACTCTCCTTCTATGGGTGGAAGCGGCGGCGGGCGTGCTCTCTCACCTTGCAGTTGATCAATAAAGGTTCGTGGATCATATTCACCGTATGCCCTCCTTTCTGCTTCCGTACTAGATTCGTCTCGAACCGGCGCAACAGGCCTTTTGTTCTTTCCGTACATCTCCATAAGAATCTTCTGTTCACTCACGCGTTCCGTAGGATAACAAGAACCATCGAGTAGACGACAATTCTGCCCTCCATCCAAAGGTGCTGTCAATACCCCAGCATCTTCCATATTTCTCAATGTTTCTTTTACCCTAGTGTCGGCATGAAGAATTCTATCATTAACCCGTAACAGGGGGTCATCGTCAATATTACCTTTTAGCAATGTCATATCAAACCTTTCGTCGTTCTTCACGGCAAGTTCGAATAGATCACTGTTGTCGCCAATCTGGTAAGCCAATTCTGAACTTTGGATCAAAGGAGCAACCTTTCGAGCGCGTCTAGCAGCATCATATGCTTGTCTTGCATCCTTGCACTCCTGCTCGATATTCATATTTCCTATCACGTTTGCTAAATGGGGTGCAAACGCATGGCCCTCAAACGCAGACTTCCAAGACTGACCAACGTCACGAAGGTCGCTCGGGTCTCGCCATGGCTTGAACAACATGAGCATTAGACGACACCAATTTTCAGTCTGTGACTCACTGGTATCTTTACGAGGTAACTGTGGCCCAATGAGCACCGGAACCACACGTTGACCGATATTCAACTTATTTACATGAGTCCTATATAAGGGATGGCTATCATTCAACATTTCTCCCCTCGCGACGCGGGCGTTGAATATTTTGCTAGACCTCTTACGAGGTTCTATCTCGGTCGTAGCTATAAAGTCCCATAAAGCCATGGTGTCAAAAACGGGCTTGGAGCTACGCAGCGTATAATCGGCGACCAGGCTACGTTGAACAACACCGTCCTTCGTAAATGTTGCAGTGACTTCTTCCGCTCTATTTATTATTGAGAATGGTGCGCCTTGAGTGGTCACTGTCACATCGACTTCATCTAAATCATCGACAATCTCCACAGATGGAAGTCCGTGGTCTACCAAATCCGGTACATATCTAGTACCATCGTCTTGATTATTCATACCTTCGGCGTCTGGGTGACCTTTAGACTTGAAGTACCGGTCAAACTCGCCCCAATACAGTGTGCGGAAAGTATGACTACTGTAGCTATCGCCACCTCCCACCAGATAACTCATGACTTGCTGATGAGATATCTCCTGGCGACCCATCATCGCATTGACTACTTTGACCATCAAACTGCGCTTCATAGCATCTGCGTCCACTGTCACCTGTCCGTGGTATTTTGCCTCGTTTTGCCTGATGGCCCAGCACAAAGACTGGAGGCCGAGGTGTAATGGCAGTGATCATTTTGTAACATAATCTGTTACATAGTACACCAATGCCTTTGCAGCTTGACCGGAACCGATGTACTTAACATCCATATTACATTTCATCAGAAATAATACGAGGTCGTTATAGTTGTTGATCCACGGGTGTAACCTTCGCAAGAGAATAGAAGAAGTCTCCTCATCCAACTCGGTGAACCCACGAGTACTACCATCGACCCTCATCCGGCAATGAGCATCGTCATGAGGCTCGCCATCACTGAGGTATTTCCAACACGTAGCTTTATGCTCGTGCCAGTTACAAGCTACGGCAAGGTCATTTACGAAGTGTTTGAAGCTAAGCTCGAACCTCTCACGATCTTCCTCAGACAGATATTCTTCAAGGAAAGGAGCATCGGTTGCACGCGTATCGTAATCAAGCGTAGGCTTTGGCCACGGTCCAGGTTGCTCACCACCCATTATAGCCTCCATACCAGGCAATTCACATTTGATAATGGACTCGAGCCATCCGAACATCGCATTCTTGAAAGCTTCGTCCGTAGCCATTCGATCTCTCAACGCCTGAGGATTGGGATTGCCTTTAATCCATATGAGCATATGACAATGAAGAGTACCCCGACCTTGTGCCTCGACTGTGCCAAAGTAAGCATCACAAGTACCAAATAGGCCAGGTTCTTTTCTACCGTATCTCAGAATGTAATCGTTGAATGCTTTGATCATGACGTCAAAGAAGATTGCGGCAGCCGCTGGATGCTGAGCGACATTCTTGGCTCGATGAAATTTATCCATGTCCTCAAAAGTCGATTCACTTCGACCGGAAAGGATATGCATCAATTTATGATGAATATCAGCAGGGTTGAGAGTCAGGAAGAGAGCAGGACAACCATTAGCTTTCAACAAACCCCGGATCTGATTTCGAAGAGCGATACGGCGACCATTCGAGCCTTTCAGGTCCTTCGCGACCAGACGGAGCTTAGCAAGAATAGCGGCTACACGTCGCTCACCTCTAGAAGTAGGAGTGCACTTGTCATCTCGCATCCACCGGTCGTTCATGTCTTCAATGATGTCCTTGTGCTCATTGATCTCGTCAGCCAGATACGCAAGATTTGAAGCCTGTGTCCGGAACTGCAGACTGCGTGCGGCTTCCAGCTTCTGAACGGCATTCCAGCACACGTACGCAAAGTTGGGATCACGTTCAAACGGACTATCATATTGCATCAATAAATTACGAGTCTGGTGCTGCATCGATATAATAGCATCCCCAGAACGCGATGTGTGATTGAAACCACCTATACCCCACGGGTCAAGATGCGGAAAGACGAAGGTCAACATACGTGGGTCTCGGTCGGGAAACAGCTTAGATCCTGGTTGCACACTCACGTACGGCTTGTGATCCAAAACCCACTGCAGGGCACGAACCTTAGAAGATTGGTGCCCGTTACCTGCTGACACCGTGTTCGAAAAGCCAGTAATCTCAGTGTACGACTCATCTTCCGGTATCAAAAAGTCCCCACGCTCCTCTGCATCATATCCACTATTGACAGCTTCAGCTGCAGAATCCCCATAGGGCAAATATTGTATCTCTAAGGTCGACGGGATACCTATATCTTCTCCAGGCAAAAAACCAGGACCAGAACATAAAAGATCTAAGTTACGACGGCTGAAAGAAACACTTGCATCGCGATAATGAGGGTTATTTTCCACCAAAAAACGTAACATGATTTCGACACGACGTTTGGAAACTAGCAATGGTTCCATTGACCTAATCGTGTCCATTTTAGGTCGTCCTTTTTTGCCCACGAAAAGGACACACATCGTGAAGTTTATATCTTCTCTGGATGGAGGCAAAAGGCGACATAAAGTTCCGACATCCTGCGGAATGATCGCCACATTATTTTGGCAGTATCTCTGTGGGGCACCAGGTATTCCGCCCCTATCTTCAGATATGATGTGAGAGATATTTGTAGCAGAACACGCCGCAACAAGGAGTTTCTCATGCATAGTTGCGTGCCTGAAAGCATTCGCCACGGCGGTCGGAAGACGGTCATACCCATAATACTGGTAATTTGCGATGGCATCCGGGGGTTGCTTACCTTTCTTCATTAAGCCTAAACAACCATGACAGATAGAAATATCAGACACACGGCCAGTATCCTGCATACCGGCGGGAGAAAGAAATGCTCGATCGTAAGCATCAAAATCATAGTTATCCGGCCAGATATGACATGGTATATTGTCATTCCTCAGAAGACAGAGATCAAGTTCACCGGCATCTACTATGGTCAAATCGCAAGGAAACTTCTTTTGGCCACAAACCGCACATGCATCATACACATATTTCGCAACATCCATGTTCTCTTGGAACTCACGTATAATATCCAACTTCGCATCCTCAGAACAGAACTCGGGGAATTGTTCATACGGGAGATGATTGTCACCCGTAGGAAACTCAAGATTTTCAGCAGCTTGATTGATCGAAAAAACGGTCTGCAGTGGGGCTATGTGCTCTCCTGGGGGCACTGACACCCGTGGAAAGGCATCCTCTGCGCTCGAACTGACCTCATTCTCGCGTAAAGACTCAAATATTTGTGCGTGCTGAGAGAAGTGGTCGTACCTTACGATACGTTCAGTAGACAGAATGTGGAACAAAAAATAATGCGCATCACATAACGAATGACAAGCGTGAGTTCCAAGAGAGCGGTAAAGCACTTCCTTTGTGTCATTCCGACGAGATCGTAGATGATGGGCCATTGCGATACACTGCAACTGAGCACGGGTGAAGAACGAACATTGAGAGACAAGGGTATGGAGGTTTGGTACATGGACGGCAACGTAACGACCCGAACGACCTGAACGGACAGCACGAACTTCGGCCATGGTGCCTAACGCAACGAACTCGTGAAAACTCGTCAAACGCGACGGTGAGATCAGATTCGTGGACTCGGGAGCCTGGTAAATCTCTTCGTCACTAACGAGGACAGCGCAGTGGAAGCTATCTTCCTCATCGTGGAAGATTGTACTCCCTCTGCCGCCCCGGAGACGGAAGAGGTGCGCTACACATCACGTAGATGAAAAGGGAAGCTACGAAGAGCAATAAGTACGATGAAAACATACGCTCCTCGGGCGTCGTAGCTACATCGCCTCGACCACTCGCAAAGTAGACTGTATAATACGGAGGTACTGTAAATACCTGTACACCAGAAATAACGCAAACACTTACTTTCACTGGTTTCCGGCGTGTCAATGGCACCGACTGCAGGTGTGGATGATTGACTCAAAAACTCCTCGTGGGAGGGATGATGTTCGGTGATAGCTCCTAGTAGATTGTGAGCCACGATCAACACAGTAAGACAAACATATCCAACCACATGTCGGGCACAACCAACGGCCAGAAGCAACGCCCACGCAGTCTTTCTCCTCCAGGAGAAGAGCCGGATATTCAGTGGGTAGAGAGGGCAGAGAAGAACAACCTACGATACAGATGAAGACGAAATAAAATTCGTAAAATAACAGGACGAACCAGACGAGCAATCGCACACAGCTAGAGCCTCGATCCGGAGTAGGTCTTTGCGACGCCGAACTCTCCGTCCATAGCGTATACGAGGGTGCTGACGTTTGAGAGGAACCATAGAATCAGATGAAAATGTTGAGCGCGCGTGTGAATCGAAAAGTGAAAGAGTAGGCTCCATTGTGAACGAAGACTGTGGGAAGTACACAATTAGCGACAGGGGCTTTAAAGGAAACCAATTTCTCCATGAGTCCGCCAGTCCGCCGACGTTCAACAATAAACGAAGGCACGAGAATGTGCACGTGATTGAATATTCCGGAACGTTCTTCGATCTTCTTAACGCACGTGACGTTGCTTTCCTCAGGAAAGCAACGTTTCCTCTGAATCCGATGGCGCTTGATTCTACGCCGAGAAAGGAAATTTTCCAGTTTTTCGACACTACCTACAAGAACCTGGTACCCTTTAGGGACCAGGAACTGTGACCAACCCGTCCGGCGAGTCCGGCGCCGCCTGGAGGCACCCGGCCATGCCTGGAGGAACCCGGCCACGCCTGGAGGAATCCGGCCACGCCTCCAGGCAATTCATGTCCCCTCCCCTTTGAAGGATGCCTCCAGCCGTTTTGTACACATCTTGTAAATACCCAAAAAACAATGTCATTTATTTGCATATGCTCCAATCTGCCTGGAGACAATTCGTCACAGGTTGATCCCTGCTTGGAGGCATTCTCCCACAAGTCGCGCTTTTCCTGGAGGCAATTTCGAGCAAGTCGCTCATTGTCTGGAGGCACTTTCAAAGAAGTTGCCAATTGCCTGGAGCCTATTCTCACCAGCTCCATATTTGCTTGGAGGCTGTTCTGCACATGTTGT